GGTTCTATCCTAAGAATGTTGTATTAGACGTGTTCATAGTCACAAATGGTTTCTGATTGAGAAGGTTCTGCCTCGAGAACATTGTTATAATACTATTTATATAAATATGCATGCACAAAAAAGATGAATAGCCTTCTAATTCCCCCACAGTACTCTGTGTGTATCTTGATGAACATGCATGCTGCACAAATGGCTATCTAATACTTTACTGTTCTCTTTTAATTTTTTTTTCTATTTTCGTCTACACGTGAAGGGGGGAACTGGGGACTGATAAACTAAAGTGAGGAAGACTTCTTTTGGATAGTAATCAAAGTAATTGCTTCAGCATAGAGCAATGCCTTTTGTATTCTTTACTATTTTTTTATATATTTTTTCTTGTATTTTGTTACTTTCAGTCGTCTCTGATTCTGATTTAAAAATATCACAGGAATAAAGAGAGAATACAATGATAAGAAAAGTGCAAAATACCAATGATAAAAATGAAAAAGAAAAGGAAAAAGAATGACTAACAATAATAAATATATCGATGATTATATATATATAAAAAAAGAAATGGAATCAGGAAATACTAAGTACTGTTTTTTATTTATTCCCATAAGATTGGGAACAATTAAAATTTGAAATTGTATTTAAATCAAGGATTGGAGGATGACTGGCTTAAAATCTCCACATGCCCTTCACCAAGTTAATCTGGTCCAATAACTCCTTTACAATGAATATGATACAATTAACCCCTCGGTCTATTTTTCGGTTTGGTAGACCACATTCTGGCTGATCTGAATATCATCATCATGGCATGCGTCATTGATCAGAAAAAGGAAATTAAAAACCGAGAGAATAAAAGAAAACAAGTTAACATAGTAAAACCGATTTGTCAAGTTAATTAACTTAGCTATTTGATTTCAGCTTGAGCATCATTGATAAAAAGTAGTCAGGATTAACGAGACTGAACAAGTAAAATTTATGACTATCAGCTGATCACAGCCAAGATCGAGCAGCTTAAGAAGCTTAAGCATGCAGTATATCAAGACGTTATGGTAATCTTGTGCCAAGCTCCCCAAACATGAGGAAACTAACCAAGTGCAACGAAATCAAGATCTATGTGCAGTATTTGCAAACTCGTATATGTAAGGATTTATGGATATCATCTATTTTTATATTAGTATGATATTGTTCATTTTGAATCTAAACTTTTATATATTTGTTTTTGGACTATATCCAAAAATCCTTATATCAATAAAGATATTTATTCATTTTTATATACTCATGATCCTCTCTATTTTTAATCAACGTGGAACTTTAATCACATATCCAACAGTATTTTCATAAAGGGATCAACCTTCCCTCGAATGATTTGATTTGATTTAATGACACCAAAACCAAAACTAGGAGCTGGGCATTCCGGCTTACACAACACTTTCATCGGTCACAAAATCTCAGATATCGATTTAGATCAAAGGGAAGTATTTTCTTGTTTTTTTGAATTTTTAAACCAATGAAAAACAAACATCCTAATGTATTATTACATCAATTAATAAAAACTCTTGAGATCATGGTTTCAAACATGCATGCTTGACGCTGATGAGCTGCCTTTTGTAGATGAGATATACATCGTTCAGGCTTAAAGGTACCATTTTCAGGTGGCAACCTGGCATTTCTTGATAGCTGGCCCACAAAAAACAACACCATCACTTTTGAAAGTCACTCATGAATGGAGTGAATCACACCACAATTATTTTAAGAATTCTTCAGATAGAGAACTAATATTACCTTCGCTTAGTGCCCACTGCGCAATTTTCTGCCTCCTATCCAGCCCATTCTCAAGGAGAACGCCAACAACAACATCAGAAACAAAAGACAGCCTATTGTAATCAACGCGATTTCCCAACGATGTAGTTTTCTGGAAACTTCAGAAACATAAAAAGCTGCAGTTGTCAATCATGCAATAAATTATTCTCACTAAAATTCTAAAACCTGGTCTTGATCCTAAGGCTTGAACCAAGGCGGTCAGTTGAGAAAGTTGAATTTTTAAAAACAATGTTGTGTCATGCTCTTTTTTGAAAGAAAAATCTGGGTTAACTTTACTGATCTGCAACCGGACCTTAGGCCAGGTCTACCCCAGTTTCTAAACTACGATTCTCACAGCATATAAAGAACTGACTAACAGAATTCTGCAAGGTTTTAGCAAAAAAGGAAGAGTAGCTTCCTACCACGAGTGACGGAAATAGCTTCTATGAGAGGTCCATTGATACCAGGTGGATTGTACAGAGATCCTTTGCCTGCCCAGAGAAGCTTGATCTCCAACGAACCTTCATTTATTTTAGCTGGGAATTTTAGCTTTCTTACTTCATTTTGTAGTTCAGGGATTTCCTTTATGTTGAGATCTTTCTTCACCAACCGTCCCTACAATCAAGATTTCCTTAAAATGTGATATGAGTACATTAACTGGCATTCTGAAAAGTGAAATTCTTACCTGAATATAAACATCAAACACCCGTTTCCCTGTTATGCTATGATCTTCACCCTTTGAATACAATGTTTCAGAAAAATGAAGGGTCACAATGTACTTGCCTTTATGTAAGCAGAGCCCATAATACATTAGAGAAATCGGAGCTAGGCGAAAATCATTATCTATCTTTGTCTCAGGAGTACAATCTTTACATGTTGAGTTTCTTACGAAAGTACTGGCATTGACAGTTGCCCAGAGGTAGTCCCCAGAAAAGCTATAAGCCCAATCGTCAGATGGACTGAGATTAAAACTTGATGTTGAGGTGTCGTTGTGATAATGATCCTTTCCCACGTTAAGCTCCTCACCACCACAATTTATAAACAAGGAATTATCTGCAAGTAAACTTATTTTCAGTACAAACATAATCGTTACTCATAACAAATTCAACCAGCATAATTAGAACGTAAAAATTCCCTATATATGTTAAATTATTAATTCACTTAAAGAAGATTCTAGAGATCAATTCTAGAAAATACTACAAACTACAAGTTAGTGCTAAGCTAAGTTATGAAAGTTCTAGAGAAATCAAACAAACTCTAGGAATGTTCTAGGAAAGAATGATTACTTGTCCATAATTCAAAGAACTATAGAACTTTCAAGTGTATTGGCAAAATTTCCTGCAAGTTCTATGGCTCGAAAGTTAATCTAGATTTTTCCTTTTAGGTTAGTTAAAATGTTAGGTTGGTTGCCATTTCATGTAAGGCACCAACTATTTACCATTGACTATTAGTAGCCACCATTGTTGAATGAGATAGAGTTGGTGGCCACCATTATTGAATGAGCTAGAGTTGGTAGCCACCAATGTTGACAACAAACCAAGAAGAGCTTCCATGAATGCCTATAAATAGAGGCATATATGAGAGAGCAAAATGAGAGAGGAAGTAGAGCCAAAGAAGTGAGAAATGTAGGAGAGAGTGGGCTGCCATTGCAGCACAAAAGGAGAGAAATAGAGTGAGGTTGAGAGTTGCTCAAAGAGAGGATGATTCCTTCTCCTCTATTGTTGTAAATCTTGTACTCTCCCTACATAATGTAATGGCTTCTCTCGTGGATGTAGGCGGTTTTGCCGAACCATGTTAAATATTGTGTCAGTGTGCTTGGCCTCCTATGAGCAAATATCAGTACATCACCGGTCGGAATTCTTAACAATTGGTATCAGAGCTTTCGGTTTAAAGTGGTGTTTGATTTTGCTCAAAAATAAAAGTTTTTAAAATTATGTTTTGACCATTCCATTGTGTAGAGGAGGAAGAGACGAAGCCACTGGTGAAAACCGCGTCAAAATCGGATGCCGAAAACCGCCCCAGAGCTCCGACGGGGCGACTGTCCACGTCATCAGCCACGTCAGCAGTTCTGCACAGTCATCAGACACGTCGCCTGACACATCAGCACTCTGGCCAGTCAAACTGCCACGTCATTAGGCATGTCAGCAGTTCTGCGCAGTCATCAGACACGCCACCTGACACATCAGCACTCTGACCAGTCAAATTGCCACGTCAGATTTGGTTGACTCTATATGTCCTACGTGGCTGACACATCATCACAGCCACGTCAGCTCCCTGGATTTTAATCCTGTGTGGCAGAGTCTACGTGCAACCGGTTTTGAGATTGAATCTGGGCCGTTTATCAGGCCAGAATTGTTTTGATCAAATCTTAGCCGTCTGAAGTGCGAAACTAATTTAGATAAGGAATTGAACCACTGGCCTTTAGTGGTAGTGACCCCTTCCCACTTGCAAGGAGGCCACCGTTTTCAAACGACCTTTTTTTTATATATATAGAGTTTGGGCATAAAACTGTCCGTTGGGGTCATAGTAGCCTATCAACTAGCCAATCCAATCTCTGTCATGGTAATTCAAGTCTCTTTCTCCATAAACCACTAATTGCTATGCCTAAACTCTTAGAGTACCTGGCTATGGACTGCTGGGTTCTTTAAAAAAAAATAAAAAAAATATGGAATTCCAATTGGATACGCAGAATATGCCGTTACTTAATTTAGTTTTCAAAGAATGAACATACGCTTTCGATAGCATTTTTCCGTCTTCATGTTATCAATAAATGACCTAAGAAACACGAAAGTTAATTTGTTAGAATACTTCAGGATCACTCTTCTTGAAAAAATGATGATACCACACATACCTAGTCGGGAGTCTGGAAAAGCACCAACATCATGAAATCAGATTAAAAAAAAATCAGTGAGAAACTTTCAGAAGTGATCTAGAAGTCAATAAAATTGTCAGGTATATGATTGAAAATAGATACGAGTTGTCCAGTCCCTTACATGTTTACAGATGCCAATCCAGAGCATTTTTCATTTGTACATTTCACATTGAAGTTATTATATGAGAGATCTCTGCCACATAACAAATAATAAAAATGATCTTAGAATGAGTAATATAAAATTATTTTTAAATTAAAATAATTTTTTAATATTATATTAAAATTTTAATATTTAAACAGTCATGATTTGAAATCTCACATAGCAACTAGAACCTTTCTATTTAAAGATAGCAAAATGCTTAGGCATGGAAAAAAAAAATAAGTGATTTTCTCCTCAACTATTATATATTAGAGAATAATATAAATTATTTTACAAGACCTCACCTACTAGTTTAAGTTTTTGGATTAAATTAACTGGTATCAGAGTCTTGATGGCTAAGCAATCACAAATAGTGTTAACTTATGCAAGTTTCAAACCCAAAAAGTTTTCACTTAAAAGGATGTGTTAAAGAATAATATAAATTATATTCTAAGATTTCATTTAACATTTTAAATTATTGGATTGAAATCAATCTTTGACACTAGAGCAGGCAAGAAGGACAAATTACATTGTACAAAGAAGACATTGCTAATGCGCTTTAGCAAACTTTAAAAAGGATATTACATCAAAATTGATAAATGATGAATTGTGGGTTTCACATGTTTTAGTAAGGGGTTAAGCATGAATAAATTTATTTTAATATCTGTGCATGAAAGATTTGTATGAATATAGTTTTCCAATTATTGTTAAGTGTACATTGATTTTCTATGATTCCAAAGATCTTCTACATAAACAAACTATTGAAATTCAAGGAGGCTACGGGTGACTGATCAATCGAATGAAATAAAAAAAAATTTGACGTTATTGAATCATATTTCCATAACTTAAGTAGACAATTGAAAATAAGCTTGCAGAATTGGATGCTAAAATCTACGATCTTACGCTTTAGGATAGGAAGATGGCTTCGGCTTCTTAGTGATCCAGGAAGGAAGCTTAGTAAGTTCGTTGCTTGTTAAAAATCTAAGCAGGAAACACCAACCCATCAGAAACACTGGCTGGCTAGCTGGTTATGTTAGATATAAGAAGAAATCAAACACATACAACTTATTCAGTTTCTGAAATGATTCTGGAACTCCACCACTTAAGTTGTTGAAGCTCAAATCACTGCAAGACAAAGCAAAAACGCATCAAATCTCGGTTCGATACTAATCAACATTGATAACTTGAGATGGAATTTTATGTTGAAGTTTTGATGCCCACAGACTAAAACAACTCAACATTATTATGAGGAAGGTAAACGTACGTACAGGTATGATAATTCAGGCCACTTGCCAATGTATTCGGGTATTGAACCATTAATTTTGCAATTTCTCAGAACTCTGCAGAAATAATTGAAGAAGTAAAGGAATCTATATTGGTAGTTAACAACTTAAATTTGCTAGATAATTTTAGTTTCTAAAATATATTTTTCGGTTCATGGAAGGATCTAATGGTTCTTGAGCGATACAAAAAGAGGTAGCTCTCTCACTTTTTAAATCTCATCCCTCCTTTTTCAGGACTTGAACTTCTGGTCTACTGGCGGAAATCTCAAACTTAACAGCTTAACTGTAGCTTCGTGGACAAATGTAATAAGAATCGCTAAGGTAAAACTTTTGGCTCCAATGAAGAAAAACGAATACTCACAAGTAAATCAAACTTTCAGGTATTACTTCACGTTTTGGGAAAGATATTCCAGGATTACTTACGTCACTGACCAACCTGGAATAATTTAACAATACTTTAGAATTCATTACTAAGAAAACAGCATGTTTCATTTGTATCTGAACATGTAAAACGAACAAAATGCATGGCATCACAGCACTGCACGTACAATCTCTGTAATTTGGGCAGACTAAAAGTTTCTGCAGGCAGAGTCCCTTCAAAATTATTTCCTATAAGAATCCTGACAAGTACACAATGGACCGGTCAGCTAAATTCACCAAATTGTTTTGCTTTGTAAATTTAATAGACTATAACATTTAGCTTTGCTATCATTTGCAGAAATATATATTTATATATATACAAGTCAAAGAAGACTTACAGTTTAGTGAGGTTGACCCAATTTCCAATATAACTAGGCATCTGACCAGACAAATAGTTTCCACCTACTGCACTGCTTTGGCCCAAACCGTAAAATAAAATAATTAAAATAGCAATAGAAAAAATTTAAAGAAGGAAAACTCACAAGGTTTCCAGATGGATAAGTTTGTCAAAAGTCTCAGGGATCCTCCCTGTAAATTTGTTTGCCGTCAAGTAGCTGGAAAAAATTAAAGCTGTTAGGTCAAGGCCAAAGATAAGACAAAGTATTATAATTAATCTCGTCATTTTTTTTATTGAAATTGGTTCAGCCCTACATTTTGTTGTCAAATGTCAAACATTTATGGAACTAGTGTTAGTAATTAGTATAAAATAAGGTAGAGAAGTCGTATGATCAGATAGAAGTTGAGGGGCTACTCTTTCTTCTCTTGGGATATTTTTAAATTCCAAATTTTCAAAGGAGAGTTTGAATATGTGATCTCCTTGAATGTGCAAGGCTCACTGCTACAAGGCCAGAAACCTGTAGGTAATCCTTCCTCATCTAGTATTAATCAAGGGGTCATGAGTTCGACTTCCCCGTGATTATGAACAAAAACATCAAGAAAAAGAAATTTACAGGTGTTGAAGAGTGACCAAATTCCCAAGCTCCTCCGGAAGTTCGCCATCAAGATTATTGTCATCCAGATTCCTTTTTCCTCCAAGTAAACAGAAAAAAACGTGGATTATTCGTAGTACACTTGAAAGTGAAACTAAAAAAGTGGTGAGTCTACTTTTCTTACAAAAACTGAAGAACAGACAGTTCTCCTAATTCAACGGGAATATGTCCTGATAACGAGTTACTGTAAAGATCCCTGCAAATCGAATGATATGTTGTGTAAGAGAAATCAATAGGAAATCATGTAGAATGAAAAAAGTAGTGAAGATGAGAATTATCCTTACAGAATATTTAGGGAAGATAGTGTGCCCAAAGCTTCAGGTATAGTACCATTGAGGAAGTTTAGGCGGAGAATGCTGTGACAGGAAGATGAACAGATATTAACACACATTGTTTAATCCCATCATTCTGATCTATTCTTTAATTGTTCTATTATGAGATTTACTTTTTGCTTTTCTGTCAGCTAAGAAACAAATATCAAATCAAATTTCCCTTTTTCTTTATTATCTGAACAAACAAGCAGGAAAACTTCATAAAACTTTTAAGAACCCAATCTTCATCCGACGGGTTGCACAATTGGAGCATGGAATTTTGTTTCGAAAAATTCCTAGCAGTTTGGGCGCTCTATCAACTAGGATGTTAAAATCCTAGCCCCCTCTCAACATTATATCCTTCTCTTCCCCACAGGTGGAAGGTAGAGACTATAATTATCAAATCCGTCTGGGCTTGGCAGGTCAGGTCAGTCCAGGACTACAGTGACTCAGGGCCTTGATAAAGGTTGTTTCATTCAACACTTGGGTTTGCAATTGGCCCCGAAAAAAACTGTTCAACCTATTAGGTCAACTCGAAACTTAGGTAACTCGACAAAACCTGGTAAAGACCTAGTTTTTTTTTTTTCAAATGTATTTTTTCCCCTAACTCGA